ACGCTCGCCACCGTAGCGCATCTTTGACTTCGAGATCTAAGAAGATTCTTGCTCTCGGATATTACCTGCGATAGAAGTATCCGAAGAGCCGCATCAACTAGACGGAGAGATCTTGAAACCTGAGATGAAATGGCGAAACAAAGCCAAGCCTCCGACGGACACACACGCATCGTCACCGTCCCCTATAGACCAGTCCGCTATCCATCATGATTGCCACCAACGGCGGCCAAGTTACACTAAAAGTTGCCACATGTGTCTCAACAAGTACTGTATGGAACGTACTTGGCGCGATTGTCTCGGATGGCACGTTCCCATTCTGACGCCCGTTCAATGACTACCCTCGACAAATATTTTAATAGACCTCGTGATCATGAGGTCGAATCTCGATGGTATTTTCGTCGTCTTCGATCAGACGCGCGTTAGAAATCTACACCTCAAACAATAAATTCGAACAAAAGGCTCATTTTGGTTGGATGTATCCGCCATTGAGGAACACTGTCTTCATATGTTGATAAGTTTGTGTAATGCGGTCCAAGATACAAGCCTCGAACTAAGGCCCCGCCTTCGAAATCAACTTGGCGTCTGATTGTACAGATCTGCCGGGGTTGTCCGGCTAATCTGCGCCACCGCGAGACGAGTCCTCCCGCTCAGCCACTGTGCTCAGCCTCAGTCTCCGGTTATCCGATGTACTCCACCGGCTCCATTCCCGCACTGCCAGCGCTTGCGCAGCCGGGAGCTCGAAACATTATCGCAATGCTCCACAAACGCGAGTTTAATTAACTAGAATTTGTACTTTTTCACCGCAGTCAACATAAACGACGGATCACAATCATGCATCGTGCTCGGACCACGCGCATAATTGCATATGGTGCTTCCTCCGAGATTATACTGCGGAGAATATTCCGGGGTGCTGGAGAGTTTATTGCATCTCGATTCGTGTTTAGACTTTGCCTCGTGCTCAGATTAATTTTGCTACTAACTACTGCAAGCCAGCTCCGAGGTTCACATGTAGGTCCCAGTGTCGGTTTACCCTGATTTGACAGAACTTCGAATGTACATTCCTTGCAACCATTGAGCCTGATGGGAACTTGCGCGATACGTCTTCTCGCTCAGCGGAGATACAGATACTATCATTCCTGCTCTCGACCTTCTTTGCTCCGCATCCAACACGCTATCCATCAATTCGGTCGCGATCGCTGGACAACGCGAAGACTTCCATGTTGATAACTTTTCGTTCCCTGGGCGGAGAGCCACACCGTTTACCCTCGTTTACCTCGGAGTTTGCCTACTATTTCATGGATTTCAACTTTTTTTCTTGATCTAAAACAGTACGAGGTTTAGACTACTAGCCACTCCGAGCTCCACGCACTCTCGTTCTCGTAGGCCTCCCTCATGGAAAGTTGATACTTGATTATGATAAGATCAAGGTTTTCATAATTTGACGCCCATCATCGTTTCTTTGTTCCGCTCAAGGATATGTTGCGTCTTCATCGGCGGAGGGCAACTTAATCCGGCGAGGCTTCCTCTCGCATTCTTCGACTTCAACGCCACCTCAGGCCTCAGACTTCTCTGTTGTACTACAACAACTGCAATTGGCTTCCCTGAGGCAGTGCGCGACCATCTACTTACCCACACTCTTAATCCCACATCATGACGAGTTTTCTGACATGGGTTCTACATTTCTGATGTCGGAGAATCGGTTGAACTTTGGGCGCGCCCTCTATAACCGTCGAGCATGCAGGCCCCAAATGATGCATGACGATCTGCCGGTCATCCTATCAAAGTTCAAGGTGCGTTTCATCCTAAGTGTTGAAACGTTGACCCACTGGAGTGGCCGCCACACGTCGTTTCAGGCTCCCTAGAGGTCTGATGCACGCGCCTCCTTGTATCATACTTACCAAATGAGTAAGTGACTTCCGGCATGATCGTCGATATTCTTGTTGTAATCACGTTCTTTCCGACACGGAATGTCTACAGCCTAGAAGTTTGCTATATCTATGTCAATTTCACCACATACCTTTGACCCTGTCTACGAGCGCTGCGTTTGATTCCCGCGGACTTTATCGCACATCCGCCATTGAGATATGTGTCTGGCAGTCGTGGGCTTTTGGGTTTGGAAAGGCCTCGATGATTGAGGGCACATACTTTGATTTAACTTCTGCTTGACAGAGGTCACTATCTGGAATATGAATTTGATTTACATGTTTTTCGCTCACCCTAGGTTCTGGCCCGGATATTATGTATCATGTGATGAGTTCGTCACATTCGTAAGTGGCGACGAAGCTCTCAGCTACGCCCAGTCCAAGTTTAACTTTTTGATTGGTCATTGGTCTAGTGTGCTCACCTCGCTTACTTCCATATGTGTTCAGATTGGAGTCGGACCGACGCCGAAGTACGACACGACATCCCCGGCACAAGTTATGAGTGATGAGTGCCCTGTTACCCATCCGAAGCACTTCGCCGAAGTTCCAAATGTTGACAAAAAAACAAGGTACGTGCAGTAAAAACGTAATGACAAGACCTCGAAAACCTCTTCAGCTACAAATTTGCCTCTGGTTTACCCGAGTAGGAACATCGGCGGCAACAAGCTATTGGCTGGCGCTCCCTAACGCCAATGTGAACGGCAGTGACGACTCGTTTACACTGAAGCGCCACCTTGGCCTGAACCTCAATAATCTAACGTACAACTAAGGTTGTTCGTTGCCTATCTCCTTGCTTGCCCAGAACATCCGCCACCCGTGCTTATCTAACTTCCAAGTCAAGTTTCATTAGTACATACACCCTGCACCGCACCAAACTCTACACCAAACTCTACTGGTCCGCCGCTTTCATTGCCCTCGTTCTTCTCCGGTGATTGAAGGTGTGCTTTTGGTGCTTACATCCTCGTATAGCCACTATCGTCATTCTCTGGCAAAGCCCGCCGACAACGCCGGACAGACCGTCATCGAGTTATTCAGCATCGATGTCTCCGGCCTCAACTGCGTCTTCTCCAGATATGGAGGATTGTACTGTTCGTATCAGCGTCGGCAGGTATTGCAAGACCCGACCCTGCGCCGGTACCACCCCCATGACATCACCATCCTTGCACTCGTGAACAGCAACAAATTAGACACGTTCTCCGTTTCAGGATTCTTTCTTGAAGTTGCAAGACGGGCATCAAAAACATAGAGGCGGCGTAAATTTTTCTTATCTTGTGTTGTCTTAGAGAGTGATCAAACTCCTTACATAAATCACTTACCTCTTATGCTATTTGCTATTTAGCAAAACAAGCACTCCGTCATTTCCCAGCGACTGCTTTGGGAGGGTCTGGGAGGTCACGCTCTGGTGCAGGGGTCCGAGCCAACATGAGGTTTCGAGGCGGCACCGGGCTTCACGGGGTTGTAAATTCGGCCTAGCGCGTGTCAGGCATGGGAGGGCGCAGGTTGAAGGTCATGGGTGGTAATAGATGGCGGGAGACTGCTGTGGGCGGTCGTAGACGCGCAATAAGCCCATACACGAGCGTCGAGCGGTAATTTGCTTAACGAGCGGTGCTGGAGGTCTTGACCTCTGCCGAACGTGAGGTTACTAATGCATGTACCTTGTTCTTCCCCAACGTTTGGGAACCGAAGTGTAACAGGGCACTACGACTCCCCTCCCACCTTATTACGTTCCATGGAATTTGAATCTCTCCGTACTTAGTTGGACTGTGTCCCTTTCTTGGATACTCGGCGCTCCGTCCCGTGCTGTCATTATTATTTACCCGCTCTTCAACCACCATGAGTACTAACGACACGCAGCAGAGTTCAACTGGAGGTTGAACGTTCGAACCTTATGCCAAACAGGCATACTTAATTGATAATAGGCCTGCACGTGAACCCACCTTCCATGGAATCTGGAAGTGCTTCGTGTTCTGATAAGTTGCAGATCATTTAGGTAAGTTAAGAATGTTTTAGGTCTAGCTGTGGGACAGGACTACTTGCAGGACTAATGATATCTCCCTCCAATCATCTCCGGTTGGGATTGTCCAACCTTCGAAACGACTGGAATAACCGTCTCCAAGTTGACCACCGCAGTCAGGTACTATTTATTCACATTGGTGTGTATTTATGTCTTGCCTTCAGTTCTATGAAGCAGTTGGCACGACGTCGCTCTGATGCTCAGCCTCATTTTCAACGTTCGTTGCATAGTAGATTGTTCGGAGGATCAGCGCTGAGCGTGGGTACCATCACCACGACTCCACGCTGGTCCGAGCAGCATCTGGATGGGCCGAGAAGTCATGCGGCCTACCGATTAGCAGCCATATTTCAAATGAGACTTGCTCCTCATGAGAACGCCTAATGCGACGAGATCTAGACGATGGACTATGCTACTCAGGCTCTGGTAAAAGCCTGTCTTACGCCTTTGGAACCATGGGCGCAGCATCCAAACAATAGCATCTCATACCCGCGCATATTCATCATATCCGTGAAAGCCTGCCGTGAACGCGGGGTACAAAAGAGACTTGTTGGAGTAATAGAAGGTAATACATCGATGTTGCAATTTTGAAGCATGCGTATCTTAATTATTTATGTAAAATCTTCATCATAGGGGGCATAACAAAGACCGTGATAATCATGTGTTCCAACTTCCAAGAAGTTTCAGGTCGCTACACAACCCCAGAGCTGTATGGTTCCCCCCGCCATATGATTTGCACAGCGGCCCGAAATCAGAGTCGACCAAGTCATCTGTACAACTTGTGTACTATGTAGTCCGGTCCGCCCCAGCCTGGGAAAGTTAAGCGCGTTCGACTTCGTACAACGTAAAAGGTATTAAGCCTCACGTACTGGGGCCAGCCTATTCTCCGAGTCAACTCCGAATCGATTGGCATTTAATGCTATCGATACTGTGAGATGAGTGAATGCTGCCTAAAGGCATATACACTCTTGTGTGCTGGGACTAACAAGAGGATGCAGTTTGTGTCGATTTGCTGGACTTCGAATTGCAAACGCTGACGTCTACTGGCAGCGGTTAAATGGTTCCACTTCATCCCATGATCGATTATCGATTGATGAGCATCGATTTCCTTATGTACATTTTATGCAGGTCTAGAACCGCATAAAGCTTCTTGACCCATCCAGCCGTTACCAGCTACGACGACCTTCTGTACGAACCCTCATCTCAACGAACGTCAAAGATGAAGAGGAGCAGGCCCGAGTCTCCACTCATTCACCGTGACGACATAGAAAACTATGGCTCGATGCAAACACATCAAGATGATGGCCCGGGAGCAATCGCGAACGAATCACTCAGCTTCACTGCCAGGAATGCTGGGATGTTATTGATCATATACTCCCAGTTTTTCTTTGCTTCCATGGATATCTCGGTGAAGCTACTGAACGGCTTGGAGCCTCCGGTGCACGCACTTCAGGTGAGATTTCTCCATCTTTGGTGATCGAATATGGAGTGATACCAATGTAAACAGATTATCGTGATTAGGATGGTGCGTCACAGAGTTTTCGACTCGAATGTCTATTAATTTATTTCAGGGCATCACCTTGATATGCTGCGAGATATACATGTTTGTCGATTGTTTTTCTAGGCGACGATTTAAAACTGATGACATGAAGGACTGTTATGGGGATCCCTGATCCGATTGCTGGCCCTAAAGGTGTTCGAATGATGCTTTTCATCCGTGGTGTCACTGGGTGGGTGCTGATATACTCGCGCGGCCTCAAACTTATCAACAATCTGTTTCTAAGGTTTTTTGGGCTATCTGGCATGTACTGGTCACTCCAGTACTTGTCTGTCGCAGATGCCACAGTCTTGGTATTTTTAACACCTCTTACGGCAGCGGTGGCTGGATCTGTATTTTTGAGGGAAAGCTACTCCGTCAAGCAAGCTATCGCGGGGGGTGAGAGTTAAAATTTGCATTTTACAGTTTTTGATTACTTATTGGGGATAAATCACTAGTTTTCAGTCTCCTCGGTGTCATCCTCATAGGCAGACCCGCATTCCTATTTGACTCCCTGGATGCTGTTCCTCAAGGACTCTCAGACGTGGCCCCTGCGCAAAGGCTGGCGGGTGTTGTGTGGGTACTATTGCGTGTACTCTGTTCCGCTCAACCTACAATTTATCTATTTTCGGCAGGGCCTGTATGGTCAGCGTACTTGGAAATACTGGAGCATGTACGTATTGTCATCCTTCTGATGGTAATGGCCGCTTTAATGGTTTTAATAGATACCTCGATACGCGCAATTGGGAAGCGCGCTCACCCGATGCATGTAATGTCATACTTTTCATTGTGGTGCACAATTATATCATCTTTGGGGTGTGTCAATGCATATCTGCATTTTACGTGACAATTCATCATTTGTAACAGGATGGTTGTTTTTGATATCCCCGTTGTATATCCTACGTCATGGATGTGGATACTTCTTCTGTTCATGGTCGGTGTCTTCGGCTTTGCGGCGCAGGTGCGTACACAAGTAATTCTACATTTGCCTACTAGTAGTTTACTATGATTTTAGACCCTTTTGACGATGGGACTACAAACCGAAACCGTGTCGCGTGGCGTCACTGGAATGTATGCTCAGGTGGTTTTCGTCGTGGTGCTTGAACGCCTGTTCTTCGGAGTTACACCGTCTTTACTGTCAGTTCTCGGCGCTGCTATCATCATGTCCTCTGCTTTCTATGTCGTCGTGAGTGGTCGCTATGCTCGTTGTTACCAAACTTCTGTGCTGATGTAGATTTCACTCACCAGATGAAAAAAGCAGAAACCTCACCAAGACAGTGCCGCTGACAATGCTACAACACAGAAGTGTGGGGCCCTGCCTACTCCGTGGAGTCGGATATATTGATACTTCTGAGTCTTGCACTCTCTAAAAATACTCCAGCACTTGTACATTCAACGACCGTTATTATGTCCATTATTTACGTTGTGGTGGGAAGTCATCCTTGCCTGGTTTATTTAAGTTCACTATTAGTCGACAGAATGGGAATAGACACTATGTATAGACAGCACCACCAGCAGTACTATTTTCTAAGTTCACGGACTCCTGCCCGGTCAATGCTCAATCCGACGCAGTCCGAGGCCGTTTAATTTCCCGATTCACTTGAACTAAAAATACTCAGGCGAGAACGTCACGTGCATGTAACAGTGTGAATATTAATGGCGCCCGATATGCCCGATAGCTTAAATTTGTACATACTGGCGAATATGTGGGGTCTCGGCCACAAGTTCAACCAGTACTCCAGAAGGCGGTGCGGTCACACAGTCCATATATCACTAACCATTAGTGCAGCGTTCTCAGACTGAATTGGCGAAGACAAACCTCGAAGATGAGCAACAACAAGTCTCCTCTCATTCACACCACTGCCGCAGGACACGACTATGGTTCGACACGACCCATTGCCAGCACATCCCAAGATGGTGAAGCAATCAACGGACAGCGCAATGTCCCAGGTTTTGTCGCCAATAACGCCGGGATGCTATACATTATAGCTTCTCAGTTTTTCTTCGCATCCATGAATCTGTCAGTGAAGATGTTAAACAGCCTGGAGCCTCCGGTGCACGCGTTTGAAGTTAGTTCAGTTTCTTTATCTTCATTCCCCGATTGGAATGAATCTCAATAAAACAGGTTATTGTAGTCAGGATGGTGCGTCAAAGAGCTTTTATGAGCTGCACTCGTTGAATATTGATTCGTCCCCAGGGCATCACGTTGATATGCTGTGTGACATATATGTACGTTGGTTACTTTCCAGACAATAATACCCTGCGATTGACGACATGAAGGATTGTCACGGGAGTCCCAAATCCGATCATTGGTCCCAGAGGTGTTCGGACATTATTAGTATTCCGTGGGATCAGCGGGTGAGCATTGATCTTCTTGTATGACCTCAATTTTGGTGATCGTTTGATCACTCAGGTTTATCGGATTATGTGGACTGTATCTGTCGCTTCAGTATCTATCTATTGCAGATGCGACAGTCTTGACTTTCTTGACACCTATCACAACGGCGGTCACTGGGTCCCTCCTCCTTAGGGAGGGCTACTCTGTCATTCAAGCGGTCGCGGGAGGTGAGAGTTATGCTCTGACTTCTCTCTTGTCTATGGATACTCAAAGGTGTTACTAGTTTTCAGTTTGCTTGGTGTCATCCTTATCGCTCGCCCCCCATTTCTATTCAACCACATACTAGCCACTAATCTTGACGGGCCGGGAACAACACCGGCGCAAAGACTGTGGGCTGTTGGGTGAGCATCGTCATTTGTACACTATTTCACCATTTCACCATTCGATGTTCGGTAGGATAGCTATGATCGGTGTTGTTGGAGCCACTGGGGCATGTACGCATTGTGATCGACCTTCTCACGGTAATGGCAACTTCAATAATTTTCACAGATACCTCGATTCGCGCAATTGGGAAGCGAGCTCATCCGATGCATGTAATGACATTCTTTTCTTTGTGGTGCACCATCATGGCATCTTTGGGGTTTGCAAATACATCCCTGCACATTTACGTGTCGCATTAATAATTTGCTATGTAACAGGATGGTCATCTTCGATATTCCTGTTGTATATCCTAGATCATGGAGATGGTCACTTCTTTTGCTTATGGTTGGTGTCTTTGGCTTCCTAGCACAGGTTAGTTCCTCGTGACCCTCCATTTACCCACCGGTGATTCACTACCTTTCCAGATTCTCTTGACGTTGGGGTTGCAGCGAGAAACAGTATCGCGCGGTTCCACTGGAGTGTATATTCAGATGCTTTTTTCCGTAGTGCTTGATCGCCTAATCTTCGGAGTTGTACCGTCTTTACTGTCGGTTCTCGGCGCCATGATCATTGTGTCTTCTGCTCTCTGTGTTGTCGTGCGTGATCATCGTCTTCTGTCACATGACTCCTTTACTTATCTCACTGCTAGTTGACAAAGCCAGTACCCACCCACGTCAGCACCACTGACAGTACAGCGTAACATAATGGACGTAATATATTAAATTCCTGTCCCTTCTCAGGCGGCACTCTTGAACTTTTGCAGGTTTATATAAAGCCTGTAATTGCCTCCCAGTATGAAAGCTTGTAGCACTCTGTTATGTCTTCTATTTTGCTCCGTCTGCTCATTTGCCTTCGGACAAAAGTCTGAACACCATCCTCACGTTCACAGCTGAGATTGACGGCATCACCTACTAGTGCTCACATCCCTCTATCCTAATACTGTTCTTTCTGCCCCCATCATGTGGCATGCATCGTAACTTGTATCCTTTTTCTTTATCGCGCGGTAAGTTATTGATGCTGCCATCGTTTTGACATGTTCTGCTTGTCTCGTCGTAAGTGGCCACATAGTGTTCTCGTTTTCTGTCACACAACTTACACCACTACCATTACCAAAGCGGGAACCTACCAGATGCAGCATCAGTGACAATCTGCAAGGAGATATAATCTCGTTATTACTAGAGGCAACATCGACTCTACAGTCTAGTCAGCACTTGAGAATAGGCTAGGATCCCTGTTACTTCGCTGGTAAGTGAGTGGTAAATTTCGGTTAGCTCTGAGAGGTTCTAATATTAACATACTACAGGTTGTTCTCCCACCATCGCATAATAATGTTCTCATTGGTCACGTTGAGCAGTGAGAACTTTCTCGATTGTCAGCTGGTTTTTATTATTGTACCGTCCACTAAACCTGTGTAGTTCTCAGTCAGCTTATGATGTATATAGGGATTGGAGCATGCTCGAGATGAGATTGGCAACCATCTTGAACCCACGCGTCGCTCCAGTCCCAGGCTGGTACGTTCAATTCCGCTCATTATATCCAGTCGAACGTCACTGTAATGAGCACGATCAATGGCTACATCGCCCTATCCCAGAGCCCGACAGAGGAACAAACTTTCTCAGATGATATCGATCTCACATCTTCTCCACCAAGACGACGACGTTGGATTTTTGGTCCTCAGTCTAGATGGTTTGAGAGTTTGCATTTACGATGGCGAGGGATGATATCACGCGTAATCGCCTTCGTCGAAACGAACCTGGGGATGCTGTTGATCATAGTGGCGCAATTCTTCTTCGTATGCATGAACCTTGGCGTCAAGCAGCTGAACAGTCTTGATGTGCCCATGCACACCCTTGAGGTATGTTCGCATGTATATATCCTACATACTGGGCTCATGATTCTATAGCTCATCGCAGTTCGTATGGTTGGTGTTTCGGTATTTCCTGGTGGATACAGATATTGATTAGGCTGTCCGCCTGAATCTCATCAGGGCATCACCTTGGCATGTTGTGTATTATACATGTACGTTGTTCAAGTAAAAGGCTATGTCCATCCTCAGATTCATATATGTTTGGACAGGGTTGCAATGAAGATTCCAGATCCTATCCTTGGTCCCAAAGGCGTTAGGCTGTTGCTGGTGAACAGAGGCTTGTGCGGGTGAGTTTTGATTTGGAGAATGTATAACGCAGTCGCTAAACTTCCCTCAAGTTTCTTCGGTCTGTTCGGGATGTACTATTCCCTGCAGTACCTTTCATTAGCAGATGCGACGGTGTTGAGTTTTCTTGCGCCACTCTCAGCAGCGATAGGTGGATACATCATCTTAAAGGAGCCCTATTCGAAGCGTGAAGCATTTGCAGCCAGTTCGTGCAATCATCCTATCTTAGTGTCTTTCCGACACTTATTCACGCTTATTGACATTCATTCCTCTAGTCGTGAGCTTGCTTGGTGTCATTCTAATTGCTCGACCGCCTTTTTTGTTCGGTAATACTAACAGCGTAAACTCAGACAGTGGTGCGGCTTCTAGTCTAGTTACCGCGATAGATAGGATACGAGCTGTCTGGTAAGTTGCCACTCTTTTTGAATGTTTTCTTTGCCTCAACCTTCTCCACAGCGTCGCTGTTTTTGGAATTGTCTTAGGAACTGGTGCCTGTACGTCGTTGTTGCCTGTGAGAGCTGTTTCAAGATAACTGTGTTGCAGTATTGTCAATGCGTGCGATAGGCAAACGCGCTCATCCGATGCATCTCATGATGTTTTTCTCTACATGGTGCACAATCGTCGCCTCTGCTGCGTGAGCTCCATTACCTTGTCTTTGTCTCGCCCTCTGATAGGTGTGAAGAATGTACTTCATGAAGATCCCAATTGTTTACCCTCACAACTGGAAATGGGCTGCTATGCTCATTTTCATTGGACTTTCGGGTTTTTTCGCGCAGGCAGGTTGTTGTCACTGTCCTTGACTTTGCCTGCTTAAAGTCATTTAAAGACTTTGACTACGATCGGCTATCAACATGAGACTGCAGCACGCGGCTCGATGGGTCAATATGTACAGCTCTTATTTGCTGGAGTCCTGGAATACGTGATCTTCGGCACAGTTCCTTCGGCGCTATCGCTTATCGGAGCTGCTATCATCATGACATCAGCTATATACGTTATTGTGCGTTTTCATTTTTTGCGATCTTTGTTTTGTGGATTTCAAATACTTCTGTTAGATTTCAAAGAAGGGTTCACCGAAGGAGCCTGAGGCGATTGGCCTCAGAGAGCCGGACTCTGCCCTTGAGGAAGGTCTGTTGTATACTGAATCTCCAAACACGATGATTGAACTTGCTGAGACGGGCTCGAACAAGAGGATAGGACATGAAGAAGACTTGGAGGAAAAGCCGCCATCTACGTGAAGTTTATGTTTTTAAGACCTCCTATGATTACAACCACATATGCCCTTGTTGGCGCCTGAAGATGATGTATTTAAATGACCTTGAATACTACGGATGTCTATGTTTATGTCCTGTGTTAAAGTGCTCACTAGATGGCTCGATATTAGAAGAATGAACAATCAAAGCGATGCGAAGGCGTTTCGGGCAAAGCGTATACCTTTTTGGGTGATCGCCCCTCTCAGGCATCACGTGATTTTACAGATATCCAGCGACTTTGTTGATTGATTCCCTTTGTGTCGCCTTACCAGTATTTATGCCGATGCTTTTAAATCCAAGGTCTTCTATCCCAGTTCGAATTCCGAAGGTTGCAAACCCCCAGTACGCCCTGTAAATTCCCACCGTGCACAGACCCTCGAAGTCCTAGAACAAAGGTATATCTGACCTAGGCTACTATCTGTCGACCTTCAAGTTGCCTTTCAACGACCGTCACCTCATCGTTGGCTTGTCATAGGTTGCAATACATATATATATATATGCATGGAGCCTGAAACAGATTACTATCAGATTGGGGGCTTCCGAGCTCATTCTGAAGAATGGTGAGAGTACCTCGCGTTGAACTTCTAATCACATCCACCCAACGGTTCTCCAGGTTCCAGATGTACGATGACAAACCAACAATAGATGCTATTATGAATTACGAAGGTCGCGAACTCAGGCCTGGAGGTCCTGGCGCGCCTATCGAGTTGGTCTTAGGTACTAGCATATTCTGAAGTTTACCCGTCGCACGTCGACTTACATTGCACACGACAGGAATTCTGCACAATGGTGCTTCATACGTCCTCATGACATCTCATCAAATGTGGGCATTCGTCCGGAAGCACCGCTTGCGACCTCCCAGAAGACCGTGGAAAGTGGACAAATTCGCCTCGCTATCCCCGATTTATTTCGCTACAAAGAATGACCTTCAGGACAAGCTCAAGACCTACAAGGTGAAATCCCAAAAGAACAAAAAGGAGAAGGAGGACAACAGCCCTGCCAACCGAGGTTTCATTCAACTTGGGGACAGGGGCGCTCCTGGTAATCCCCGGGCAGACTTTGAAAACCAGAGGTTCGATGGAGATTGACACATATTTGATTGGTGACTGACCGCTTTAAAGAGTCTTGTATCGGTTGTTTATGCAAAGCGCCACTGCAGGAGCCCTTGGACTAATCAATCCACTCTGGGTTGACGCAGTCAGAGTGATCTCAATAGTCGTAAACACGTGGCACAAGGATAGACGTCGTGAACGTTATGACAGTCCCTTTATCATCGATGTCGGATGGACAGATGTGATGATGCCGGAGCACGTGAAATCTGGACGAGTAACGGAAACTGTACACATAAAGATGAAAGGACTCGCACTGAAAAACGAGGAACAGAATGCGGTACCACTTGTTTACCTACATTCATATGTGTTATCTGACGATTTTCTCAGCCCTTTGAGCATGGAACCACCAACCAGGAGGGCACGGTGGATATTCTTTACTCGGAGATGCGAAGACTCTTCACACATGACGCCACCAATGTTCCCCTTGTAGTGCTGGTCCACGATGAGGAGATGGTGCGCGGAGTGCTTACACGTTCCGGAATTGATGTTGGGTCATTTACCCCTGTCGCTGCGCTGTTCCAGCGTGGTCAACCTCAGGTAGCACGTCTCTTCGCATCACCAGGGATTAATCTGAATTACACATGCAGAAACTATTACACCGAAGGTCCTCCAGATCACCTTCCCCGCGACGCTTGAACACTGGCCCGTCTCATTCCTCACGTGACTATGAACGACGCTGGAAACACGAACCCCGCGATGATGTCAAACCCTTTTCTGTGAAACAAGAAGGCCGATCGTCATCATCCGTACACATCAAAGAAGATGGCAAGAAACCGGGATCCTCGCAACAAAATGGTACTATTCCCCTCCCAGCTGGATGTATCGTGAACGTGCAGAACATGGTCCGGACTTTGATGCGGGTTGCTCAAACTGGCCCTAGCGTGCAGGCGACGGCGCAGCGCATGAACATATCAGCAAACCCACGTCTCCCTTGTGCAGGCAATGAATGCCAGTAGGTGTCCAACTCGCATGACCACCTTCCAACAGATTTCACTCATGCACAATCTAGCTTGCTCTTGAACATGTGGATTTCAATGATGGAGGGACGCCCAATCGACGAGCAATGGATGGACCGCTTAGCGCACCCGATCCAGCCCCCTTCGCCAACTATAGATCCAGTGCAGCTCGGTACAGACGAGGACATCGACCCGAATGACTATATACCTCCATCGATGAGAAATGCCGGCGGACCGGCTGCCCAAGAAGACGACTGGTCCGATGATGATTGGTAGAAGTGATATTGGACAACCCCACTAAGTCCATCGTTGTTCTCGCTTGCGTGGTTAGCTAACTTTGCCATCACGAGCCATTGAGCGTCTGACAATATGAAATGGACAACGGACCATGATGTATACCACACCTGTTGTGACAATACGTTGCAGAAGCGTCATCGTTGATTACAATGCGTTTGTGTAGAAATATTCGAATTGGAGGTTTCACTACTCAGCTTCAAATATATTCAATGTTGTTGTATCCAGATATTGCTAAGTACTTGAGTACAATCTCAAGCTACATCGTACTCTCGGTTCTAGGGAGCAGCCCTCGGGCAAAAATTTAGAGTAGACGATACGAGAAATTTAATAATGAGTGACTGAGACTTGACTGCTGATGTGAGTCGGAACAAGAGGTGTTGCGCCACATTGCTTACTCACGCGTAGACTCAATTCTTACGGCTGAGGCAGTTTTCACACAAGGCATCAATACATTAGTCTATCACTAAATCACAGTCTCGATTGAGGACACAGCATCGTCATGATGACAAACTACATACATGTTTTCAACGAGGTGGAGAGAGAAGGGACGCTAGTCAAATTAAACGAAGGATAGTCGAAATATAACGGTAAATGTCAAATAAATCGCGTACAACATATATCAAAACCGGCCCGCATGGGGGACAGGTCAGCATGCAAAGCCTTCCATCAAGAACTTTCAAATTCAGCCTTGTCCTTGAAGGATGTGCGCGACAGCGGAGAGAAGTTATTCACTCCCATTTTCACGTCATAATCCCCTTTACCGCCCAACAGCGCTATATTGTCAGAGGTATTGCCGACGCCAAAGTCTTCTTCCGCGACTATGGCGCCCGTTCGTTTATCAAGACGGAAGGTAAGACCGGCGAGGTTGCTTTTCATGCGCGATACGTCGTCATAAGGCAGAAGGAGATCACCGAAGCCAGAACGCGATGTGAGGGCTACGATGGTTGCGATCGAGCCGGGTGGACTGGTCAACCAAAGATTTCTACGAGAGCGCTTGTGCAGGACGTGAACGACGAGGGATGCAATTCCGATGCAAATGAATAATATGGAAAGTAGGTGTGCTGGTAGACTTCTGAGAAGGCGGGGATTGTCAGAAGTAGGATGATGATTATGGTAGAACCAATGCTTACTCAACGAACAACCTTGGGAGATCTGATGTCAGCTGGGCAGGGATAGTCTCATTGTTTGGCAGGAAATAGATGCTTTGTGCGGCAATGGAAAGATATTGTGTCTGAATGTGACAAAAAGAGTCATTCGGTCACTTGGGTTTTTCGGATGGAATAGTTCTCCTTACATAGATCTTCTTTGTGGTATTGACGAATCCATAAGGATCATCGAATACGGATTGTGGACCGTTCGGTTGCTGCGAAGCGAAGCGATATATAGCTCCTGGAACACCCGAGTTGATGGCGAGAGACCTGGCGATAAGGTACGTGTTGTTGCTCGCATCAAACATGAGCCTGAAAACATTCGTTAAAACAGTTGGCGACAAAATAAGCAATATACTCACCCATTGAAAGCTTCGCCGTTCAAAGGATTACCTGTAACGTTATTAGTGTTCTCAAAGGGCTCCACGATTATACAGGCTCCCATAGATCCATCATTGAGATTCATTGTAGTCGCGACTACGAAAATGGCGATAGTCGGTTGACAGAAAACAGCAGTCCCTAGTGCGTCTCCGTTATCAGACAAATGATAATACCAGAATAAGACGGGCTGAAAGTTTTGATCCTGATACGAGGGTGCGCACGTCGATGCTGCTGTCACAGAGAATTGGTCGGGACCATCGTTAGGGTCAAGACTGAGAGTAGCGTTACAGCTAGGCGAAAAGGTAGCCGATAATACAACATTCGAGTTGGTGAGATTGGTGGTAGTCGTGAAAGAGGTTGGTTTTATGCAGTTGACGTGCGTTTGAATAGCAGTGGTGTTTACGGCTAGAGTTCCATTCAAAATGGAACCTGCAGGGGCCTGCAGAGCACATATTTGAGTGATTTTATGCAATCTTAAAGAAGCAGACAGCATACCGCGAATGGAGCAGCAGACCATCCGCCATGAACGAATGACGGATCTTGAAGGTTATTGTACACTAGGAAGTTTGGCCTAATTCAGTCTAGCGCATGTTGTTGAAGCAAGTGTTCCTACCTGCAGCATCTACATACTATTCAATACGTCAGCAAAGTATCGCAATTGATCTAAAAAATCTTACCCCTGCAGAAGCTAGAAATGAAGTGAGTTGATTGATGGTAGGCGACAGCCCGACGTTGCGCATGCTTGTTGCGGTGGCAGCTTTACATTAACATGTTCAGTCTAAGTGGGCGGCAAGAGCGAACTAGCTGAATGGCATTACCTGCTGCGTAGGGTACCTGTCGTACCTGAAATAGGGATCCAGCAAGCGGCTGCATGAAGACGGCAGAAAGGGCGGTGAGTGTTGATATATTTATTAACCAGTGCCGGTGCTTGAGGGAATGGTATAAAGTGGTCAAGCGACTAGGTAATAAATTTTCTTAGATCGTCAGCACGGTTAGGAGTGACTGGTTCTCACTTGAGCGCGATCTATTGTGGGATGGACACGCACGTTAAGATTCCTTCATTCATAACTTATTAGATGCTTACATAGTCTAGTAAAATGCTGCGTGCTGCAGGCGCGTTGCCCTCGGATAGTGTGACATACGGCTAAGGAAGGCCTCTGAAATAAGCGTGGAAAGCAAATGATATAGACGGTCGCGCTAACCTGGTACCATCTGAGCATCCAGTCTGCTACAGCCCAGAAATACGCGAGTGGGACTACCAATAAAGTCGGAACAAACGACTGTTGCGAGCTGATGAATAAAGATGTATTGGTGATGATATAATGGGCGTTACCGTTAGGAATTGAGTTGATACGAAGGTGATCACATTCTTTTCAGGTACTGAAAAGCCTGGTGAAGTGTTATCGGCGCACTGTAAGGAAGTAATAGGCGCGCGTACCATTGCTTCCATCTGATATGTGCAGAGCTATTTCAAGCGCAATACCCAAACAAATCATGAGTAGAGCAATGCTCCCAACGATGTAGATGTTCAAAACAATAGGCTCCTAGATTCCATTCATGTCTATCAAAGAGCATTCATTTATAACAAAGGAGTGTGGTACTGACATAGCGCTTGGGCCGGTGTACTTCTGTACCGGGTGTCGGGATGTTATGAACCGAGTCTCGGAAACGTTGTGAACGTGGAGAAATGGTGTCTGACGTTGGCGTTGCGGAGCCACTCATGTCTGGAGGAAAGCAGGATGAGGAAGCGGCGTCACTGTCTGTCTGTCAATATATGTACTAGTATATGTACTTATGCCGGCATAGCCTTCACGTCGTTACTGACCTGCCTAAAAGCACAGCTTCCTCAAGTGTGCAATTGGAATTTGACAGTGGGCGGGAAAGTATCTAGCAACGAGTACTGGATTTCGACTTTTAAGCGCTAAGCTCCAATTTGAAGGGGTCAGTGAAGTAAATCATGATTCGTGGCTGTGAACGGAAGAGATTGCATTCCGAGTCCTTACTATTCCGTTGGTGCCGCTCCCGAAAAGGAACTCAAACATCTCATTGGACTGCCATTCCAGCTCTGGCGCAGACAATTGATGACAAGTTCGCTGGCCTCGATGCAAGCTCGTGGTGTCAAGCAACTTGTCTGCTTTACAGAGTCACAAAGGTTCGGTGATTGATAGGAAAAGTGATCGAGCATCCTGAATTTCTTTTACGCATGGGGAAGGAAGAGTGGCCTCATGGAGTGTTTCCGGCGACACGTTTCTGCACGATAGACCGGGTGACAGGTGTTAGGATCAGTGGCTCAGATACGCCCAGCATGCATCATGACTGGGCATCTTGAAATTCGCGGTGGCTCAAGCTTGTCTCAAAAGATATACATATACATAATTATGCCACCTCTTAAGTACAACGCCTGCAAGCAGGTTGTTGGTAAGATCGCATCATAGCATGTAGTACACGCTGCACGCTAAAGGCACTATATCGTACGCGATAACACTGAAATACGTCATTAAATTCGTCTGTCGATAATTCAACGATGGGCTACAGCCTGTCCAACGTACCATTCACTGCTCCTCACTTGGCTCAACAAGCTGATTACAGAAGCGCACTGAAGCGCACTGGAGCGTATCGAATAAGTCCTGATTCAGTCATGACAAGGCAAAATTGGTGGTCGAACGTGGTGTTATCGAGGAGCCACATTCCGCCCGCCACCGAAATTTGTCGCCGCTTGAAAAATAAGCGTGCAACCCTTGACCCGACTTTCCAAGGCCTCGTTTTTGACTGCACCACTCATTTGTGTCCATCCTTTCAACGACTCTTTTGCCCTAATCCCTAATGTACGTGTCTATATACTTTCTGTATCGTTCAGGTCATTGGGTTCGCGTCTGTTCCTGCTTGGGCGCGTCTGTCGCGATCTTCGCGTTTTCTGAATCAACCAATCTCGTGTTTATTCATCACTAACTTGTCACGTTTCAGCATGC